TAAAACTCAAAAAAAAAAAAAATGTGAAAATTTTTCTAAATGTATTTTTTGTTTCATTTTTCATAAATTATCAAAACTGTGGTGGACTGTCTCCCGTGTTCACTCATACGCTCAGTCTCCCGTGTTCACTCATACGCTCAGTCTCCTGTGTTCACTCATACGCTCAGTCTCCCGTGTTCACTCATACGCTCAGTCTCCCGTGTTCACTCATACGCTCAGTCTCCCGTGTTCACTCATACCTAGTCCCCGTTTCTCATACTCTCAGTCTCCCGTGTTCACTCATACCTCAGTCTCCCGTGTTCACTCATACGCTCAGTCTCCCGTGTTCACTCATACCTCAGTCTCCCGTGTTCACTCATACGCTCAGTCCCTGTTACCATACCCGTCTCCTGTTCACTCATACGCTCAGTCTCCCGTGTTCACTCATACTCTCAGTCTCCCGTGTTCACTCATACGCTCAGTCTCCCGTGTTCACTCATACGCTCAGTCTCCCGTGTTCACTCATACGCTCAGTCTCCCGTGTTCACTCATACTCTCAGTCTCCCGTGTTCACTCATACGCTCAGTCTCCCGTGTTCACTCATACTCTCAGTCTCCCGTGTTCACTCATACCATACGCACTCAAGCCTCTCCCGTGTTCACTCATACGCTCAGTCTCCCGTGTTCACTCATACCTCAGTCTCCCGTGTTCACTCATACGCTCAGTCTCCCGTGTTCACTCATACTCTCAGTCTCCCGTGTTCACTCATACGCTCAGTCTCCCGTGTTCACTCATACGCTCAGTCTCCCGTGTTCACTCATACGCTCAGTCTCCCGTGTTCACTCATACGCTCAGTCTCCCGTGTTCACTCATACGCTCAGTCTCCCGTGTTCAGTCATACGCTCAGTCTCCCGTGTTTACTCATACGCTCAGTCTCCCGTGTTCACTCATACGCTCAGTCTCCCGTGTTCACTCATACGCTCAGTCTCCCGTGTTCACTCATACCTCAGCGGTCATCATACGCTCACTCTCCCGTGTTCACTCATACGCTCAGTCTCCCGTGTTCACTCATACGCTCATTTTCTAGTAAGGTGACCTGACTTGCCTGCCCATACACCTACCTACTATATCTCTATTACGCCAGTGCAACTACCTGAAAGCGTATGTACGCACAAGATAGTGTACGCATAAGCATAGGTCTAGACCAACAGAAGGATAGTGTACGCACAAGCGTTAAGCTAGACCAACAGAAGGATAGTGTACGCACAAGCGTTAAGCTAGATCAACGGGAGGACAGTGTACGCACAAGCGTTAAGCTAGACCAACAGAAGGACAGTGTACGCACAAGCGTTAAGCTAGACCAACGGGAGGACAGTGTACGCACAAGCGTTAAGCTAGACCAACGGGAGGACAGTGTACGCACAAGCGTTAAGCTAGACCAACAGAAGGACAGTGTACGCACAAGCGTAGAGTTAGACCAACAGAAGGATAGTGTACGCACAAGCGTAGAGTTAGACCAACGGGAGGACAGTGTACGCACAAGCGTAGAGTTAGACCAACGGGAGGATAGTGTACGCACAAGCGTAGAGTTAGACCAACGGGAGGATAGTGTACGCACAAGCGTAGAGTTAGACCAACGGGAGGATAGTGTACGCACAAGCGTAGAGTTAGACCAACGGGAGGACAGTGTACGCACAAGCGTAGAGTTAGACCAACGGGAGGATAGTGTACGCACAAGCGTAGAGTTAGACCAACGGGAGGATAGTGTACGCACAAGCGTAGTGTTAGACCAACGGGAGGATAGTGTACGCACAAGCGTAGAGTTAGACCAACGGGAGGATAGTGTACGCACAAGCGTAGAGTTAGACCAACGGAAGGATAGTGTACGCACAAGCGTAGAGTTAGACCAACGGGAGGATAGTGTACGCACAAGCGTAGAGTTAGACCAACGGGAGGATAGTGTACGCACAAGCGTAGTGTTAGACCAACGGGAGGATAGTGTACGCACAAGCGTAGAGTTAGACCAACGGGAGGATAGTGTACGCACAAGCGTAGAGTTAGACCAACGGGAGGATAGTGTACGCACAAGCGTAGAGTTAGACCAACGGGAGGATAGTGTACGCACAAGCGTAGAGTTAGACCAACGGGAGGATAGTGTACGCACAAGCGTAGAGTTAGACCAACGGGAGGATAGTGTACGCACAAGCGTAGAGTTAGACCAACGGGAGGATAGTGTACACACAAGCGTAGAGTTAGACCAACGGGAGGACAGTTGTTCTACAGTAAACACGGATACAAGCAACAATGTTCTTCTTCAAGGAGATAGATGACTTAAAGTGAGTCACTCTAACCTTCATGGATGTAATGAGTATATCCGTCAGGGACACTCATTATATTCGCCAGGTATATATAATAATTATACCTAGGAGGGATATGTACGCAAATCCGGCTAGGAGAGGCTTAATATAGCAGGCGGATATATACGCATTATATCTTGCCCTTATATTCCTGTCATATTCAGCAGGTATATGTTTGTTATATCTCACGAAATCGTAATAACAGACTTTCAAACAAACCACAGAACGGGTGGGATTTTAACTCATGGCAGGCGAGTCCTCAAAATTACCAGGCCAGTGTGTTAACTATTAACACAGCAGCTAGTTGGATGAATCTTATTAAAGCCAGCTGGCCCAATGGTTGACGCACTGGCCTGGAGTTTTAGAACTCCGCTGTGTGTTCAAGCCTCACCGGTCCAGTGGTTTAATATACGTACATTGGAACCCCAGTGCTCTAACGTACTGGACCTCGGACAAACCGAAGTCCGAACATTTTTTTCAGAAAGATTAACCTGCTCCTGAAACGTTTCTCTGGAATTCGAACGCGCTGACTTGTTTCTAAAGATTTTTGAAGTGACCTCTGACACTGACCTGACTCTCAGAGACTTTTGGAAGAGTCAGTTCAACTCAACATCCTCCAGTGTGTGAGGCTGATAACTTAAACCTGGGAAATACTGTTTCGGACATCGAACTTTTCGCAGTTCCAACACCACCTAGGAACCAACTAAGATCAAACACCGAGGTTCCACTGTACATATTATATCCGGCACTGATATGCTAATTGTGTCCCATCTGGTCAGGGATATGGGAAAACCGGAGTAGGCCCAAAGGTCCACAAGAAGACTAGTCCTGAAGTTGAGAGAATTGAGTTATGGGGAGAGACAAAAGGGAAAGAATCTGACGATTCTATAAGAGTGAACTAGGGTAGACATGATTACGACACACCAGATACCGAAAGGATATGACAGAGCAGAGTCACAGACGAGCCACAAGGACATAAGGAAATCCTTCTTCTGTCTCAGGGTAGAAAATCAGTTGAACGAGCTAGATGAGGAAGTGGTAGACGAAAACCCAACACAGCTTCAAGAGTAGGTATGATAGGTCCCACGAGACCAGGAACCAATAATGTTGGCAATTATAATTCAAGAGGTGGACCCGGAGCTGAGACTCGACCCCCGCATACACTACTCGGTGAGAATAATTTATTGAGTAAACACACACATACATGCACACACACACACACACACACACACACACACACACACACACACACACACACACACAGTGAAAAGACGGGGCCAGGAGCTAAGATTCGACCCCTGCAACCACAAATAGGTAAGTACACATAGATACTCTCCACCAAACATTTAACTGAACGGCCGACAACGGGCGTTCAGCTTGAGGTACAGGTTTGAGGCGACCAGAACTCTGCTAACATAGCCTCAACAACTACGTCAGTCATGGGGGTCATTCACCTGAAAATTCTAACCAAGTATGTTACTCTAGGCGATCGGAAGTCCTGTCGGTAGTGTTGTTTGGGATGGTTGAGTCATGGACAGTAATAACCCAGTGTGTGTGTGTGTGTGTGTGTGTGTGTGCGTGTTGTGGCTTTTTTTCTGTTTGAGATTTGGTTTTAACACACACACACACCACACACACACACACACACGCACACACACATCTTACCTCCATCACACTAGGAAATGGTAGCACCAGAGATAATATATAAATGACGTTGAACATCATCTAGCAGGGCTAATACAAACGTCTAGTATTGGTGTTACACCTAGTACATCTAAGGTACTTATATATATATATATATATATAGTCAACATTACAGTCTCTTAAATTCTGGCTACATTTTACATTGATAAAATATCTCGTCTATGCGACGTGATGGTCGTCATTCTCAGAGTGGATTTAGTACTTCAGTCTAGCCTGTAATTGTGATAGTGTTGCTAGAAGTTTCAGTGTTGCTAGCGCCATCTGTTGCGGAGATTCTCTACTTTTCCTGTTTTGCTGTCTTCACCTTTTTCTCTATTGTGAAAGTTTTTTCTTTTCTTTACTAATTTCTTTCCTGGTTGGAGGTCTCTTGGCTAGTCACTATTCCCTTCACCTACACCTACAAGACGAGGTTGTGTGTGTGTGTGTGTGTGTATATAATATATTATATATTATATATTATATATATATATATATTATATATATATATATATGTATATATATTCTGTCTCTTAGTATAGGTGTTAAAATATCCTTGACTGATGGTGTACAGGTGACACGGGCAGCTTTAATTATCCGGGCAAATATTCTGTTAGTAGGTTAGATTTGTGAAGGACCTCCCCAGTATGGGCCAACAGGCTTACTGCGGTGTTCTTACTATCTTATGTTCTTATAGGCTTTTGAGCTAAATTACCCAAGCAAACCCCGCCCCGCCCCTCCCCGCATATGACCTTCATTTTATTTCGGGACTATTTTTTCCATCTTTTCTGCAGGGGAAAAACAGACGGCTATTGGTTTTTCCCTGACACAGTCATACAAAAAGACATCACTAATAAAAAGTATCTTCAAAATGGGTATATACATGCGGATAAAGGAATTGCAACCACCTCAGATCACTCGTGATTACCTCCCAGTCCCCAAGCACTGTATTACCCTCACCGGTTTAGTAATAATGAAACGAAGTAAATAAAAATCTTTATTGGTAAATAGTTCAGTTGCAGCCTCAAATTATCCATTAAAAGTAGTAGTCGTAGTTGTATGGTTGATAGTTCTGCCATCGACGGTATGGTTGTTGTCGCCTGAAGTTACCAAATACGATGGACGGACCTGGATTATTTCTGTCGTCAGCGAAGGGTGAGAAACTGGAGAGCGCTCCCTGTGTGTGTGCCAGAGAAATATTTTTTTACACAGGGTTTGACAAGGTTAGGTTAAGGATCCCTAGCTTTATTGGCAAGCTATTTACAAGTAGGGAATAGGATGAAGTTGGAGCCATCTGTAGGCCAGCATTTTCATTTGATCAACTGACTTTATGTACGTTTATCTCAGCAAGGTAGTGCACTGTATACCTAGTCTGCTATGTTATACTGATAGTCACGGGAATATTAAACCTGTTGTAATACTATCATAGTTACAGATCATAATACAGCAGGTTAAAGGACGATAGGTTGACTATTTGGTTTAGACGTCCTCATGGGACAGGATCACTAGTGGGGTGCCACAAGCATAAGGGATATATTAAGATGAGTCGACACAAAATTAGCAAGGTCAATAACAGATGAAATATTCCCAGGGGAATATCAGATAAGAAGATGAAAAATGTAATAGTTTTTTTAAAGAAAGAGTGGAGAGAAACAGATCATTATTATGTTGTTTGAAGTTGACATTCATGCTAATAACGAGATGAAGAAAATGTTAATAATATACCGTGATGTATAAGAGAATAAGTGCAAGTGAAGACATTGACCGTAGGTCAGTATGAGTTGGGAATAAATGGGCTATCGTAATTACTTTATTGAAATAAAATAAATAGAGGAATTATGAAGAAAAAGTAGACGTGATTAAAAGTCTCTCTCTCTCTTACCACGCCAGGAGCGGCCGCATTTTGTCCACCAGCGATCTTGTAGACCTCCCCTGTTAATCTTCCTTTGTGCCTCTTGCTCTCTGCAACACAAGTAAGGAAGGTGTAGTAGTTCCTTTATTTCTTTGACCCATTCTTCTCCCTCATCCTTCTCTCCCATAAATATCTCTGCAATAATTACATTTTTTCATGACAGCATCATGGGTGACTTACCCACGGTGATGGGAGATGTGCAGAGAAGCAGCATCAGGAGCGTCAAGAGCAGGATGTACATAACACCAGCCTTCACTACAACCATCCTTGCTGCTGTGGCAGACACTGCTGGTGGTCACTAGCGAGGCAGACACTTGCTGGTGGTGGTCACTACTCTACCAGGTACAGCTAGTCTAGACACTACTGCAGGAGGTAAACACAATGTGGTCAATAATACAGGAGTAGTAGTGTGGTCATTAACATAGGAAGAATCAAATGATTGCAAACCTATTCAAATTTAAGTGATAATCTCGTGTACACACTAAGAACGTACACGTAAATATTTATTATTATTATTATTATTATTATTATTATTATTATTATTATTACTGTTATTATTTTGGTATTAATATTTTTTTCCTGGAGGTAAGGTTATACAGCACATGTACAACCTCACAGTGTACAGCAAATCTGAACTCACCACGTGAACATCCTCACAGTGTACAGGAAAACACACACTATGAATTTGGTGATCTGTACACACCGGTTGCAAAAATATGCTGTCAGTAAGACAGAGTTTCGCTCAGTATACAGGTTTATTTTGCAGTTTGATAAAGCTCTACACAGAGCGAAATGTTGTCCCAACAGAAGCTTGTGTAGGTCCTTGTGTCACTGTTTACGTACGTTGGCAGGACGCCATTGCAACCAGTGAATTCCTGTTAACTGAGCCTGCGCTCTGTACACAATAACATTTGTCTAGGATGGTGGAAGACCTTCAACACGGACGCTGGGAGGATCTTCAACACGGATGCTGGAGGATCTTTAACACGGACGCTGGGAGGATCTCCAACACGGACGCTGGGAGGATCTTCAACACGGACGCTGGGAGGATCTTCAACACGGATGCTGGAGGATCTTTAACATGGACGCTGGGAGGATCTTTAACACAGATACGGAGAGGATCTTTAACACGGACGCTGGGAGGATCTTTAATATGGACGCTGGGAGGATCTTTAACACAGATACAGAGAGCATCTTTAACACGGACGCTGGGAGGATCTTCAACGCGAACGCTGGGAGGATCTTCAACACGGACGCTGGGGGGATCTTCAACACGGACGCTGGGAGGATCTTCAACACGAACGCTGGGAGGGTCTTTAACACGGATGTTGAGAGGATCTTCTACACGGACGTTGGGAGGATCTTTAACACGGACGCTGGGAAGATCTTTAACACGGACGCTGGGAGGATCTTTAACACGGATGTTGAGAGGATCTTCAACATGGACGCTGGGAGGATCTTTAACACGGACGCTGGGAGGATCTTCAACACGGACGCTGGGAGGATCTTTAACATGGACGCTGGGAGGATCTTCAACACGCATGCTGGGAGACCTTCAAAACGGACGCTGGGAGGATCCCAACACTGGTGGTACTGTGCCTAATAATGGTGGTACTGTGCCAACAGTGATTGTAGGGTGCTTAGCAGTGATAATACTGTGACTAGCAGTGATAATACTGTGCCTAGCAGTGATAGTACTGTGCCTGGCAGTGATAATACTGTGCCTAGCAGTGATAGTACTGTGCCTAATACTGACAGTACTGTGTCTAGCAGTGATAGTACTGTGCCTAGCAGTGAAGTTATACAAGGGATGTGTACATACACCACCTGAAGGGTGAGTACAACGTGACACAAGTAAGGTGAGTACACTATTGACACAGGAGGGGTGAGCATATTGTGACACAGGAGAGGTGAACACATTGTGATACAGGAGGGGATGAACACATTGTGACACAGGAGGGGTAAACACATTGTGACATAGAAAGGGTGATCACATTGTGACACAGAAGGGGGTGAACACACACATAAGTGGAGAAATCAGTCGACCTCCGAGTAGGTATACCTAGGGCTGTGTACATCATCTGAACATATGGACTCACCGTGTGTAGGATACACAATAGACGCACAGGAGTGGTGCACACACTGCAAGACACGCACACGCACGCACACGCACGCACGCACAGGAGAGCTATAGATGTCTTCCTTCAGCCACCTCAACACCACTACTGAACTGCACATGCAACTCTTCCTTGGCATTTAAAGCATTCTACCTGACTCACCCCCTCATTCCCCCCCCCCAAACAACACTCTCCCACTGCTGTCCTCCCTCACCCCTCCACGCCTTCTATCCTCCCCACCCCCGCTACCCATCCAGACCACTCATCGGGTCTCTCCCCAACCAATGGTGCAGAAGCAACCCCGCGGGGCTTGGTACTCCGTCACAAACTGCATTCTGCAGCACTCAGCAACACGAGCCCTTCAAAAAATTAGTTTTTTTTTTAATACCTTGGTAGACTTTTTCTTACGATCATAAAACGAGAGAAATATGTAGCAGCATCCCAGGAGAGACGAACCAAAGTCTTGTATTCATAACAATATTCCAGGACTGGTTCCCTGGAGACAAATAAAGGAATGTAATTTGTCGGTAAGCTCTTGGTATCATGTCTCTTATGTGGGGCATCAGAGCCAGAGGTTACAGTAATACCCAGCCCTAGCATCCGCCTTAGTTTGGGGCTCCAACATGGTCCTCTGGGCACCACCAGGGCCCACAGGGGTCCCAAACACGACCCTCTGGCGGTGCAAGCTGAGGAACACCCCGGGGAAAACACTGCTAAACCTCACGCCACAATGACCCGCCAACTTGTTTTAAAATTAAGAAATAAAAACAGCAGTCTCCTTTATTCCCGCCATATATAATATATTTAAAAATGAACCTTGAATTATGTACATGGAATCATTCCTGGTTGATAAATGTAGCGAACATAATACGTATGAGCGTTCCCCTGGCCAGTTCCAGTGAGACGATCACCCACCTACTTCACCGGGATTACCACTTTTTCTGGTCTAACAACATACGTTTCTTGGTTGATATGCACTTGTCTCTAGGCTCACCAGTGTTGTCTAGTAGCAGCCGCTTATAGCAAACTCGTAGGACTAGTGTTGAACTTACAAGGAGTCTAGAGATCAAGGACTGCCAGGTGCTGTTCACTCTCTTCCTGCCAGATGACACACTTGTTTTATGGAATTGTATAAATATCACTACCTCTGTAACTTGCTTAGCTAACACAGGTTTTGGGGCTCAGCCCTTGGACCCTTTGTGTGCCTCTGTAATTTATTTTCACAACCGTCCACAGGATGGGTATAGGGTGACTACCGCTCACAGGATGGGTATAGGGTGACTACCGCTCACAGGATGGGTATAGGGTGACTACCGCTCACAGGATGGGTATAGGGTGACTACTGCTCATAGGATGGGTATAGGGTGACTACTGCTCACAGGATGGGTATAGGGTGACTACTGCTCATAGGATGGGTATAGGGTGACTACTGCTCATAGGATGGGTATAGGGTGACTACTGCTCATTTTGGATGGGTATAGGGTGACTACTGCTCATAGGATGGGTATAGGGTGACTACTGCTCACAGGATGGGTATAGGGTGACTACTGCTCATAGGATGGGTATAGGGTGACTACCGCTCACACGATGGTTATAGGGAACTACCGCTCACAGCCTCCCATCAAGCATTAGAGAAATTACCAATAAATCCCTGGCTGCCTTCAAGAGAGAGCTGGACAGATAATTAATGTCAGTGCCGGATCAGCCGGGCTGTGGCTCGTACGTTGGACTGCGTGCGGCCAGCAGTAACAGCCTGGTTGATCAGGCCCTGATCCACCGGGAGGCCTGGTCATGGACCGGGCCGCGGGGGCGTTGATCCCCGGAATAACCTCCAGGTAACCTCCAGGATGGGTATAGAGTGACTACTGCTCACAGGATGGGTATACCTGGAGTTTACCTGGAGAGAGTTCCGGGGGTCAACGCCCCCGCGGCCCGGTCTGTGACCAGGCCTTGGTGATCGAGCCTGATCAACCGGGCTGTTGTGTGGCGCACGAAAACCCCAACGTACACCACAGCCCCCTGATCCGGAACTGATTTTGGGGCTTTCCATGCCAGCTTGAAGACTGCCAGGGGTTGTTGTAATCCCCCTTAGGGTGCGGGGGCAGTTGAACATCCGGCCCTGAACTTTTTATGGTCTTTTCGGCAGTGACACCCCGCTTTTCTTGGGGGGAGGTGCATCGTCTGCCAAATCTTTTGCTTTCGTAGTGAGTGATTTTCGTGTGCAATTTCGGCAGTCCCTTAAATTTTTCCAGGTTATATAATCTGTATCTCTCCCCCCGCTTTCCCGGGGAATAAGGTTTAGGAACCCAAGCGCCCCCAAATATTTGAGGTGTTTTATCTCAGTTTGCGCCCCGTGAAATTTCTTGTACATTTTCTAAGGTCGGCAATTTCCCCTCCCTTGAAAGGGCTTTTAGTATGCGCAATATTCCCAGCCTAAAAACAAGTGACCTGAAGAGGTCTCAGGGGCTTGGCCTCCTAGTTTTAAAGGTTCCATTATCCACCTGTCATTTTTCTAGCAGATCGATTGTACAATTTTTATGGTCCTTAAAGGTGAATCCTCCGACTGATCCTCCCGGGTCTTTGACGTTGGTGTTTCGCTCTATTTTGTGGCCAAATTTTTTTTGTACTCTGAAAAGATTTAATTTCCTCATGTTTACCATATCTATAATTGAAATTTTCTATCGTTAAACTTATATTTTTTTTTTCTGGCCACTGAAAATTTGGTTGATGTCCCCGGGAGTTTTTGCATGTTGCAAGGGAAAAGACACTTTTCATGCAGATTCGGGTGTCTCTCAAAGGAAGACACGGGCGGGGCTGACTCCTTGTTTTATGTCGGATATGAGGATGGGAACAAGAGGGGCGAGTATGTCCTTGTGAACAGAGCTTTTCACCGTAGCTGCCCGGACTAGGGTTTAAAAGCTCACGGGATGGGTAGGAGGACTACCACCCCGGGAGGGGTAGGGGGTGACTCCACCTCGATGGATGGACGACTACCACCCACGGATGGGTTGGGGTTACCACCCTTTGGGTGGGGAGTGACTACCACCCACAGGGGGTTTGGGGCCTTTGACTACCCCCCACAGGATGGGTTTGGGGGGTATCCACCCACAGGGGGTATGGATGCTACCCCCCACGGGAGGGTAGGGGTGACTACCCCCCAAAGGGATGGGATGGGTGACTACCACCCCAGGAGGTAGGGGGTGACACCACCGACAGGATGGGTAGGGGGTACTACCCGACAAGGGGTTAGGAGTGACTACCACCCCCAGGAGGGGTTTATGGGGTGACTCCCACCCCAGGGGGAGGGTGACTACCCCCACGGATGGGTAGGATGACTACCATCCACGGGAGGGGTATGGGTGCTACCACCACGTATGGGTATGGAGCGACTCCACCCACAGGTTTTGGGTATGGAGGACTACCCACCCAAAAGGGGGGGAAGGAGTGACTACCACCCACAATGGGTATGGGGTGTTCCCCACACAGTAGGGGTATGGATGACTACCACCGAAGGAGGGGTATGGGGGGACTCCCACCGACAGGATGGGTAGGGGTGACTACCCCCAAAAGAGGGGTTGGGGTGACTACCCCCCACGGGAGGGTATGGGGGACTACCACCTACAGTATGGTATGGAGTGACTACCCCCCAAAGGGATGGTTGGGGGACTACCACCCAAGGATGGTATGGGTGACTACCACCCAAGGATGGGTAGGAGTGACTCCCACCCACAGGATGGGTTTGGGGGGACTACCACCAAGGATGGGTATGGTTTTGACTACCACCCAAAAGGGGGGTATGGGGTGACTCCCCCCCCACGGGATGGGTTATGGGGTGACTCCCACCCACAGATGGGTATGGGGTGATACCCCCACATGATGGGTAGGGAGTACTCCACCCCAGGAGGATGGATTGACACTACCTACATAGGGTAGGAGTGACTACCACCCCAGGAGGGTTTTGGGGTGATACCACCCCAATGGGTATGGGTGACTACCACCCACGGATGGGTAAGGGTGACTACCGCCCAAAAGAGGGCTAAGGGGTATGACTGAAAATACACGAACACTTCGAATTGGATACCTTGGGGGTAAAGTCAAGGGTTTTACACCCGGGAAAATTTGGGAGCTGCCGTTTTCCTGGATAAAACCCTGATTACCACCTTTCCTTAAGGGCTAATGTCCCTCGGGTCAGCGCTTCCCCTTTGGATATAATAAAAATGGGGAACCATTTTTTGGAGAACCCCCCGGAAACTTGGGGAGTTATTTGGGAAATTCACTGTATCAATGAAATACAGTTCCCTTGTTTGTATAACGCGGTTTTTTCAGTGGTTGGTGTCTATTTGGGATATTTTTAAAACAAAGGAAAATTTTCCCCTAGGAAAAAGGGGACCAAAAAAAAGAAAGCACATTTATCATTACTCCACCATTGCATCGTCCGTGAGTGAGCAAATTGGGTATCGTACTGTGAGTGAGAAATTTGCTATCGTGCTGGAGTGAGCAACTTGGGTATCGTAGCTGTGAGTGAGCAACTCGGCTTCGTAGCTGTGAGGAGCACTTGGCACGTAGCTGGAGTGAGCAACTCGGCATTTTCGAGGCTACCCCAAATCAAACAGTACAAATTAATGCAACAAACACGTATAACAAACAGCAGGGCGTAACAAGCTTTTTGCGTAAAATGCGGATTTTCTGAAATTAGCAGTTTTGGAGAGGTAGTGATACCTTTGATACCAATGTTGTCTACTGACCTTTAAAATCAAGAACACTTGGAGTGACCTTTTTAAAGTTTTTTAACTGTGGGAGTTTCTGTGAGAAAACAAGGGGTTTTTCCGGTGTGTCTCCCGGGGTTTCCCTGCCAGGGGTTTCCCTGCCAGGGGTTTCCATGCCAGGGTTCCTGCCCGGTTTCCATGCCGGGGTCCATGCCAGGTTTTCCCCTGCCAGGGGTTTTTATGCCAGGGTTCCAGCCAGGGTTCCCTGCCCGGTTTCATGCCAGGGATCCCTGCCCGGGTTTCATGCCAGGGTTTCCCTGCCAGGGGTTTCCCTCCAGGGTTTTCCCTGCCCGGGTTCCGGCCGGGTTCCATCCCGGGTTTTATGCCAGGGATCCTCAAGGGGTTCCATGTCAGGGGCCTTGCCAGGGTTCC